ACGCTGAGGAGCACAGGGACTGGACTCCTGCTGGGACGCTGAGGAGCACAGGGACTGGACTCCTGCTGGGACGCTGAGGAGCACAGGGACTGGCCTCCTGCTGGGACTCTGAGGAGCACAGGGACTGGCCTCCTGCTGGGACTCTGAGGAGCACAGGGACTGGCCTCCTGCTGGGACTCTGAGTTGCCTTGTGTCTGACCTGTGCAATACAAATAAACTTCCCTTGAGTTAGCGATGATTATGTAAAAAACTGGACCCTTGAATCTATCCCATGTTTGATACACGTCCACATCACATCATTAATCCACACATCTTACATATTGTAGTTACTGATGTGAAGGGGAAAAAAACTAACAAATCCTCAGCATGCATTTTTTGAATCACATGTTTGTTAATCTGGCCCCCTCCGCAGAGATTATGGTGGATTGGTGATCTGCCAGAGAGGACCGAGCACTGGGCACTTGTGTCTGTGTCTGTCCTGAGCCTCTCTCCGGTCTCCTCCAGTCTCCTCCGGTCTCCTCCGGTCTTCTCCGGTCTTCTCCGGTCTTCTCCGGTCTCAGCTCCTGTTTAACTGTGTGTCAGAGTGTGTGAATGTTTCTCTGATGATGCAACCTGCCACAGTGCCTCAAACTCACAGACCACAGACTGTACACATGTATATACTGTAGTACGGACAATGCTAACCTGCTCGCTCTATGAAGACATCATGGACAAAGTGTCGCTCCTATTGATTAAAATTCTGTAACTGTTTCTGTCTGAAATCCATGGCTTGGTTCTCTCTGCGATCCTGGTGTTTTATGTCGATATTGTGTTTGTAAATCCAGATATGAGCCTCAACATCTGCCCCATCAGGTGCCTTCTTATCCCTGACTTCAGCTATAGCTAGCGAGTAGCATGAGTGGAGACAGAACGTACCGCTCTGATTGGTTCTTGGTTGCTAGGTTGTTGCTACATCATTTGTGTAGGATTGAAAAACAGTGAAGTCAAATAGTAGATGCTTGCGGTAAACGAATTAATTAAAAACAGAAATAATAATTAACTTTAGCAGTGAATTAACTTTAATTATTCAACTTAAGTAAATCCAAAATAAGTAAACAGCCAAAATACTTACATGTATATATTATTATTATCATCATAAAAAATACTAATAATCAGATTTTCTATACTATGCTTATTATCACTATTATTATCCGTTATTTTCTTCCACTTCATCCATTGCCGGGTCATGGCAGACGTCCCTCTCCAGTCTCCAGACACACTTCCTGCAGCTCATCTGGTGGAATCCTGAGGCGTTCCCATCTGAGAGACACAGTCCCATCTGTGTCCTGGGTCTGTCCCAGGTCTCCTCCCAGTGGGACACGCCCAGAACATCTCTCCAGGAAGACTGTTATTATTATTATTTTATTTGGGTTCATTTGAGACACTACAGCATTTGATCCAGAGAAAATTCTAAAGTCTTTCCACAATACATAATGATCAAAGATAGTCACAGGTCTAACCCTTTTTTATTATTCATTGATTAATTGATTAGTTTACACAACAAATACATATCAAATAACAACAATCTATGAATATATACAGTAGTATTTCATAGATTGCCACTCCACCTTCCACAAAAAACGCTCTAACCTCTCCTTTAGCAAGTCCCTAAAAGTTCAAAAAGTCACGATCTTATGATAATTGTGTATTGTGAGCGAAGAGGACAGTCCCAGAGCAGATGCTGCAGATGTGAGGGAGCAGTGTCTTTGAGCGACCTCTGCTTTTGAGCGTGGATTAGAGGGAGACAGCTGTCGCACGTCCTGCCGTCAACTCCAAAAACCCCTCTCACTTTTTCATACCTCGCCCCCAAAAGGCCAATTACAGGATCTGCAGCTGCACACTCAGGGATTAGGGCTTTATTTAGACCACGGCTGCTCAGAAGTGATGCAAACACAACCAGGAATTAACTCACTCTGCTGCTAAAGTGCTGAGTTAAAGCACGCGCTACATCACTGTCACAGCACAATTTAGCAGAATGTAGCTACAGTTTAAAGATGAAGGGATACTTTCTGTGTCCCACAGAGGGGAAATGTCAGCGCTGCATCACCAGTTACACATAACTCTTTACTAAAATAAAATAAGCAAGTACAAAATCTTCAGCGTTAGCATAATAAAGAAGCAACTATAAAATCTCTACCGTTAGCATTATAAAGAAACAAGTATACAATCTCTAGCTTTAGCATTATAAAGAAGCAAGTAGAACATCAGTCTGACAGCAGCAGGAACCTCTCCTTCACACAGCGAGGGTGGAGCAGTCTGTCACTGAAGCTTCTCTCCAGAGCAGACAGAGTGTCCTGCAGGGGGCGACAAGCTCCGTACATTTACTTAAAGATAGTGATTGTTCTTGTTTCAGATGGAAACTACTCTAACCACAGTACCCGACTTTATATTTACCAAAGATATGGATGAATTTGGACTTGGACTTTGATCTTTCTCTGTGAAGATTGTTCCCACTTATAATTAGAGCCATCAGAGGCCAGAACCATTGAACCTCAGCCTCACAAAGTCCAACCATTTGTTAGCGCTCTTTTTGGTCCTAACGCATGTAATTTGATGATGCTAACAATGAATGAATACATTAATTATTATTAATTTATTATTGTGTCTTGCATACAACTGTATGCCCAGCCCTTCATGGGCTTATAAGACACCAATATAAAGAACAGGATCAGATGACTGACAGGATACAAAAATAACTTATTTGAATAAACAGGATTGCCGGCGCTTCCAGGCTTTACCAACATAAGTAGCCAATTTAAACACATTGGAATTAAACAAACATTTTAGCTTCTCATCATCACTGCTCCAAAACAATTCAGGCTTTTTAACAAACAGACCACTAAACAGAAGATTACGAAGATCGTCATACAAAAGACAATACAAAACAAAATGTGTTTCATTTTCCACCTCTCCTAAGTCACAAAGTTTACAAAGTCGGTCTTCTTCGGGAGTCTGAGTAAACCTTCTTGTTTCTAAGGCCAGGGGGAGGGTTCCAGTTCGCAACTGAGCGATCTCAGAGAGATCTTTGATTTCTGGTCAGATTTGCTTTAACAAAGAATTCTGCTTCATATACGTCCATCATTTGTACGTATGTTCTTAACTCATTGACAGTCATTGACATATTTGTCTGAGGCTGGTGATTTCTGTCAAACTTCCCTCTATTCGACTGGGGATTATAGGACAACAGAAATAGCTAGAAAGAAACTTATTTTGGCTGATGAAAATAGACAATCCAGTCTTTCAGAATCTGGTTTCATATTTAACATAACACATAATATTCTGTGGGTCTTGGCAATCAGTGAAACCATCAAAAACGCTGGCAGTCAATGGGTTAACTTTGCTTTTGCCAGAACGCCACTCAACCATCCTTCTTCAAATTTTGACATTCATTTTGTTCTAATTTTTTTGACATTGCAGGGCAGATTATTATGAAATACATACTAACAAGCTTATTTTGACAGCTGCCACGTTTATTACACGTTCTAAATGCATGTCTTAAAATAATGTATATATTTCTTGTATTTGGTGTCATTTCTGGCACAGTTTTTAACCTTCCCTCCCCCTCCCTCCTCTTTCTCTGCTGCAGCTTTACCCTGTCGCTCTCGATCCTAACCTTCCCTGTGTATTTCTGTATTTCGTGTGTGATAATCAAATATTGTGATGAAATGGCTCCACGTATATACTTATTATTGCTTTGATGCCGCAGTGAAAAACACACCTGTATCTCTGTCTTCTCTCTCCTCCTCCACACTATTCAAAAATCCCCAGTTGACTTTGATTGGACGTGGGACACACCCGGGAGGAGGTGTGTGTGCTCGCCCGCCTTACGTGTCATGACAACATATATAGACTCACGCTTCTATATATGAGAAGTCCGGTAGAGAAGAAATGCAAGAAAAATACTCAAAAATATTAAGTATTGTAGTAAATATTGTGGTCAGGACCGGCTCACTGCAACCTCTTTATTTCCCCTCGGATTCAGTCTCAATCAGATCCATTATAGGTTGTGTTTACGCTGCAAAAAGTGATGAAAAATAAGTTAAAAATTGCTAAAAAAAACAACACAAAATGTATCTTAATTTGAGCACATTTTTTTCCAACTTCAAACTAGATTTGGCGATGGGACAAGAAGCAAAATGATTGTGTTTTAAAAAGATATAGTTCTTTAAATAAGACTAACTGGTCCCATTGGCCATTCAGAATGTACCCAAATTAAGATAAAAACCACTTGATTTAAGCATTTATTACCTGATATTTTTCCACTTTCTGCAGTGCATTTGACATTTTACTTGTAACTGAAGGTGGAGGATTTCAAGGGAAGAATTGTTAAAAAGTTATTTAAAACATAGAACCTATTTTCTCCTCTCGAGGTTTTTCATGTTTGACTTTGCATATAATTTTGCATTTGCGACCATTCCTTGAGTCACCTCAACTGGAAGAAGAGCAGCAACTCTACTCAGAGCTCCTTCAATCCACAACCTTTCTAGACCTTTCCCTTTTGGCTCTTTGCTCCCTCTTTGCCACGACTGTCAAGTCAAGTCAATTTCAATCAATGCAATTTATTTTTGTATTACCCTAAAACACAGCAGCAGTTTTCTCTGCAGTCTTAACAAAGCTGCCAATTCACCAAAACAGATCAGAGAATCAAACTGTTCAACCACATGAAATGCAATCTGATTCGTTCAGATTCAGAAGCATAACCAGTCTAGCCTGGCCTTACTCCGCTCAATTATCATTTCACTGCATATAATGTCTGGGTCTGGTCCTTGTGTTTGTGATTACAATCGGTTGAATTCCATCCGACCAATCAGCGAGCGCGGGAGGCGGGTGTTGTAGTTAGATGTGGGTAACGTCAAGAGTTTGCATTGAACGGGCAGGTTGTAGTTTGGGGATGGTGAAGAATGCGATAGTAAAGTAATCCGGTCTGGTTCTATCAAGAAATTGAAGCAGGAGCAAGAGGAATGTTTAGCAAATGTAATTGCTGCAAAGATTGTGGCACTACTCCGCACGGGCTCCGTTAGCGGCGAAGGAGATGGCTAAAGCTAGGCTAAATACTAAATGCTAACGACTCACTCGGGCACATTACATTCGTGACGGTAAACTCAGATCCAATCGTTTCAATCTGCAAAACGAGTTAATCCCTCCCACCTGTAAACGGAGCACAATGGAGCACCTCCAGACCTTAGCACGAAATGTATTTTGTACTATGGTGTGGTACGACCAGGCTATAACCAGTGTACAAAAGTGAATGTTTTTGCTTCTTGAATAGCTCTGTACTTTTCTCCCTTGTCCTCCATTAGAAAGCAAAGAATGTCATTGAGCACAACCTACAATTCAAACTCCATAAAACACACAACTGAAATGAGGTGAAATAAATAACACAACAAGTGACACGCATGTTAAGACAAAAACAATGACGACTGCCTGCTAACGCCGGGATGCTAACGCCGGGATGCTAACACTGGGATGCTAACGCCGGGATGCTAACACCATCTCCAGAGCCAAGTCCTTTGAGTCGATAAAGGATGGACCGGACCTGTGTGTGTGTGTATGTGTGAGTTATTGTGACATTGTGGGTCTAAATGTGTGTGTTTGCCTGTTGTGTAGCGTCGCTGTGCCGTGGCGCCTGTGTGGAGGTGGACTCGGAGAGTGAGGCGGTGGTCACGGAGGGCTTCAAACTGGGATGTATCTCCTGCAAGAGGAGAGGGGAGGTGCCCGCCGTGGCCTCCGTGGAGTGGTTCTTCATGGGGTCAGACGAGTCCGATTACGCCCCTGTGAGTATATTAATTTATTTACAGAACTTTCTAGAAGATAAGGCACACCTGTACATAAGCCGCAACACCGAAAATGTTAACGTCAATACTCTCCACATACACTGCAAAAAGTGATGGGAAATAAGTAAATAATGGCTCAAATTTGGCTAAATGTATCTTAATTTGAGCAGATTTTAACTGCCTTAAGATTTTCCAACAGGACAATGCGCAAAATTACAATTACAAAAGATACAATAAATGTCTCCCTTGGAATGAGGAAATAAAAGCAAGAGTTCTCGAAACAAGTCTAAATGGCTTTGACCCATTGGAGAACCTTGTTTTAAAGGAGCAGTATGTAAAAATCTGGCCAAAAGTGGTACTGCACTCTCCCTGACTCAGGTTGCCAGATATGTAGACAAATCCAGCTGGGACCATAATATCTAAATAAGGAGTTTTGTCAACAACAAATCTATAACCAACACCTTTTTCACAAAGATAAAAATTCTGATTGTATTCCTTGTTTTGTCATTCAGGATTTGAGAATCATAACGAGACCATTTTTAGTTCTGCGCCACATGGTACTTTACAAGTGAGATTAGCTCCACGCGGTGAGTTCTGGCGCCCGGATCACAGACTTTCTGATTGGTAAAACAGTGGAGGGCGGGACATCTAAATGAAAACAATAACAAGTCCAAATCCAAATATTTCGGCTGAACTACTGTTATCAGTTAAAGAAGTATTGGATAAGAGCATGTTTGCCTTTTGACAGATTAGTGCCGTTATTGATGACTTGACATGAAAATCTTACATATTGCTACTTTAACACTTCAACCACTCAATTTAAGCATTTTATAATTTTTTGCAGGGTATAGGCCGCACCTGAATATAAGCCGCAAGTTTTCACGTTGTAATGAAGCAGAGAGGCGACGGTTTTAACTGAACACAACATGATATAATGACGCAGTGTTACCTTCAACTGTTTTGACAATAAACCAGTGTCCTGTAGCTGCTAAAACTTGATGGAGGCAAAACTCTGCTCTGACAACAGCCCAACTCTATCACAATGAAAATACACATACATGTATATTAGCTGCATCGCTTTAGCCGCAGAGTTCAAAGACCGAGAAAAAAGTAGAGGCTTATTGTCCAAAAATGTATCTATTTTTATTCGGATTTTTATTCGGACCAGTGACAAGTGGTCACTGGTCTTCCTGCAGTCGACTTGTATAAGGAGCATTTTAGGATCCCGTTGGCAGTTTTTATGGTCTCTCCAGTGCATTTCAAACGCATAATAATGAGTATGTTCTAATCATATTTGACCATGTTGACTTGCTGCAGTCTCACTTCCCGCAGCCATTTTGAAAAAGCTCACAGAAGGCAAAAGTGATGGCACATTAGTTTCAACAGTGGAGATAGGCCTGACTACATCCGACAGTGGCATGGCAGCGACACACATTGATTTATGAATGGTTCTACATTTCAGCACATGTATTGGTTTACTTCCCCTTAACCTGTATTTATGGAGAACATTTCAATTGAGGAATACGTTTTGTAAAGTAGGTGATAGAGAGTTTCCAAATTCCCTGAACATGATTATTTATTATACAAATATGAAGCATCAACACTGGATCAGCAGGTCCATGTGCTCTCTTCCCATCCTTAAGAATCTGTCAACCCAGTCCTCTCCCCGTGCATTCCTATAGTGCAGATATATGTAAATAACTAAGACACAATGTTGCGTAACAGTCTGGTTTCGACACATGCTCTTTGAGTGTTCTCAGACCACAGCTGAGAGCGCTGCTGCATTTTTCATGAGGAGGTTTTAGCATTTGTGTGCAGATGCCTAAGCAGCGATCCTCAGCCTCACACAGGCCATTAGCCCGCGGCTGCACCATGCCATTAGCTTCCCATTATAAAAGCTTGTGCGTGCTAGGCTAATTCACCGGGAGGCCAGAGGTCCCGGTGAGAAAGCAGCTGGGCCGGTGTGCAAAGTGCTGGTGCAAAGACAGATGAGTCTGTTCTCCAAATACAATAATGGCCTCTAACACATAATGGAGATGGTGTCGAGCACATTACAGCTGCAGAGTGGATAGAGTTATAAAGCAAGTGTTAGTCTCATGTCTGCAGATTGTGACGACTGCAAATGAACCCGTTTTAGGGGCTTTTAAACATGTTATAATTCTATTTTTTCTTCTTATTAATAACTCAGAATCAGAATCATTTGTACTTCCATGTAAGTAACACGAAGTCACAGACTAGGAAATTGCATTGGCTCTCTGTGCAAACGAGTCAAAAGTAGAGAATAAAGTAAGGCATAATAATGGACTCAGACTTAAATTTCAATAGCCACATATCATCTGTGACATCATCAGCTTACTTCCACCTAAGAAACATTGCTAAAATTAAAAACATTGTGTCTAAAGCAGACTTGGAGATTCTTATCCACGCATTTGTCTCCAGTCGATTGGACTACTGCAATGGCTTGTTCACAGGTCTCTCTAAACAAGCGGTAAAACAGCTGCAGTACATCCAAAATGCTGCAGCTCGAGTCCTGACTAGAACCAGGAAGTACGACCACATTAGTCCGGTCCTCAGGTCTCTGCACTGGCTTCCTGTGGCTCAGAGAATAGACTTTAAAGTAGCTTTACTTGTGTACAAGTCTCTCCATGGCCTCGCACCAGGGTACATCCGCGACATGTTGGTGCCATATGAACCAACTCGGGCTCTGAGGAGCACAGGGACTGGACTTCTGTTAGTGCCAAGAGTCGGAACTAGACATGGGGAGGCTGCGTTTCAGATTCATGCAGCTAGAGTCTGGAACCGTCTTTCCGAGAGTGTGAGACAGGCGTCTACTCTAGCAGTTTTTAAAACTGAACTGAAAACAGTTCTTTTTAGCTGTGCATACAAGTGAATGATTTTATATTTGTTTTTATCTTTAATCTTTTTAATGCACTATGATTATTTATGATTATTTATGATTTTAATCCCTTGTGTGATTTTAATGTTTTACGGTTTTTAACTACTTGTGTGATTTTATATATCTTGTGCTCTTAATCTGTCCTTTTATGTTTACTTAAATTCTAATGTTTGATGATTTATGCATGATGTTATATGGGTTGTGAGGCGCTTTGCGTTGCCTTGTGTAGGAAAGGCGCTCTATAAATAAACGTTGATTGATTGATTGATTGATAGTAAAAATCAATATACAAGATTATTACAATTATTACTGTATCTATAATATACAAGTGCACTTGGTGCACACAATATGCAATAAGCAGTGCAGGAAGGTGGCAGCAGTAAAGTCACTTTATAAAGGGCAGTAAAGTGACTTTAAAAAAGGGCAATAAAGTGACTTTATAAAGGGCAGTAAAGTGACTTTATAAAGGGCAGTAAAGTGACTTTAAAAAAGGGCAATAAAGTGACTTTATAAAGGGCAGTAAAGTGACTTTATAAAGGGCCGTAAGGGGACTTTATAAGGGCCGGGGGACAGGTTATGAGTTTCAAGAGTCCAACAGCAGAGGGGAAGAAACTGTTCTTGTGGCGGGAGGTTCTAGTCCTGATGGACCGCAGCCTCCTGCCTGAGGGGAGTGGTTGGAATAGTCCATGTGCAGGGTGAGAGGGGTCGGCTGTGATACGACCAGCCCGGCCTCGAGCTTGGGCGACGTACAGGTCCTGCAGCGATGGAAGGCTGCGGCCGATCACTTCCTCTGCAGAGCGCACAATGCGCTGTAGTCTCTGTTTGTCTCTGACTGTGGCTCCAGCGAACCACACGGTGATGGAGGAGGTGAGGATGGACTCGATGATGGCCGTGTAGAACTGCACCAACATCTGTGCAGGCAGCTTGGCTTTCCTGAGCTGCCGCAGGAAGTACATCCTCTGCTGGGCCTTCTTGATGAGGGAGCAGATGGTCGGCTCCCACTGGAAGTCCTGGGTGATGGTGGTGCCCAGGAAACGAAAGGACTCCACGGGGGTGATGGGGGAGTCCATCAGGGAACAGGGAGGGTGAGGGTGAGAGGACTGTGCTCTCAAAGTTGATTGCAGAGTTCATGCATGCCTGAGTAATCTGCATTCTCTCACATGTATTTATTTTGATTTATCTGTTGATTGAGGATCCCCATAGTCTCCAGCTGAGACTTCTCTTCCTGGGGTCTATCAATCACAGATCTAAAAGTATATTGCAGTACATGTGATACATTTCAGAATTACTGTATCTTGTAGAAACACAGAATTAAAGAATTACGGTCTTTAAGAGGATTTACTACTCAGACTGTCATGATTTAGGTCCGGTCTCCGCAGATCTCCTCAATGATGTGATTCGGCTTCCCACGACTGCTAACAATGTACAGTATGGTCAGAAGGATCTCCAAAACATGGACAAAACAATGACATGAACCAGGAAATACGCTCACACTGACTTCCTGTGGCTCAGAGAATAGACTTTAAAGCAGCTCTCCATGACCTCGCACCAAAGTACAGTACATCTGTGACATGCTAGTGCTACATGGACCAAGGTCCAAGGGGACTTTGAGGAGCACAGGGACTTCAGCACATTTCGAGTTGCCTTGTGTATAAACTTTGCAATACAAATAAACTTGCCTAGCCGTGTAAACTTTCAAGCACAAAAGTGGCTTCTTTTATGAAGCAACCCTCCTCCTCCCCATCATTGCCTCGTTCACCCTCCTCCTCCTCGCTGCCACCACCAGGGTCTAGGCCCCGGGGGGATTTCATCTCATAATCTCAGTGTCAGTTAATTACAGCTAATGTATAAATGTAATAAACCCCTGTTGTGTCTTTCCAAGTCTCTCCAGATTGAACTGTATATACATTATTTATATAAATAACATGTCTTACTCACTCCTTCTTCTCCTCCTCCTTTTCCCCCTTGTTCTCCTCATCCTCTTCGATCTGCTCGTCCTTCCCCTCCCCTTGGATCTTCTCCTTCTCCACATGAACCTCCTCTATCTCCTCCTCCTCCACATGAACTTTCTCCTCGTCCTCCTCCCTCCTCTCCTCTTCCTCCTCCCTCTCTTCCTCCCCTTTCTCCCCTTTTCCTCCTCCTCTTCCCACTCCCTCACCTCCTCCTCCTCCTCCTCCTCCTCACAGCTGTACGCGTACGAGGACAAACAGGGCAGCGTCATTGACCCGCGCTTCTACGAGCGTCTGGACTGGGACGGGAGCAAAGGGACCCGGGACGTGCAGGACGGGTCCCTGTACATCCTGAACGTCACCTACAACGACACCGGGACGTACCGCTGCGTGTTCCAGAGGACGCTCATCTACTCCAACTACGAGGTCCAGGTCAACGCCAGCAAGACGGTGCAGCTGAAGGTGGTGCCCAAACGTGAGACACTTTTGAATAAAGTTAAGGTTTTTACTACCGCACTTTGTGGACGATAAGGCGCATCTGTATATAAGCATTTACATTTCCATTACTGAGTCAGGGGGTGGAAATCAGAGCTGCTCCTTCAACATAGATACGGCCTTGGTGTTTCATCAGGGGCTTCAGGCAAAGTGGGGTTAAGGGTCTTGCCCAGGGACACAACAGCAGCAGACATCAGTGGGGGCAGATGACATGGGTCGTGGTGGGACCATTAGACCCACGACCATTAGCTCCAAAGACCAATTCTCTACCAACTGAGCCACTGTTCGAAAAAAAGAAAATCAATGTGTAATATAAGGTTTTCATGTTCAATGTTGCAGATAGATACGGTTTTAACTTGTCTCAACAGGATGTATACATATATTTATTTGTATAACGCCTTTCACAGTCCAGAGTCACAAAGCGCCTTACATTTCTTTTGGGTATTTGTCTCCCACTCCACACAGCGAGGTCGCCGTACAGGAGGCCGATTGTACTTTTTAGTGGTAGGGGAAACCGGAGCACCTGGAGGAAACCAAGGCACACACAGGGAGAAACTCCACACAGAATGCCCTGGAGGTGGAATCAACCCCAGGACCTTCTTATTGAAAGCCAGATCCCGTCAGACCTCTGAAGCAAAACAGTGCAGGGCCAGGCATACTGTGATGGGAGACTTCTAGGAACACCAGGTGCCACAGCGGAGCGACTGCACCAAACTGTTGCCAAACTGTTGTTATGTTCTTAGGCAAGACATCTCACCCACATTAGAATGAGTCTGGTGTGTGCGTGAATGGTTGCCTCTATTCTGTCAGTTTGCCCCAGGGCAGCTGTGGCTAAGAGCGTCTTTGAGTGTCCAGAACGGCGCTATTTTATAACCAATGCATTTTTATTATTGCATTATTATCAGAAATGAAAAGTCGAACAAGCCCAAACCCAAACAAGACCCTGTTTGTAACCTCCTGAGTGAGGACTTTGATTCTAATATGATCGTGCTCCGCAGTGACCAGGGGGATGGCGTCCATCCTGTCGGAGGTGATGATGTACGTGACCATCATCGGGCTGCAGTTCTGGCTGTTGGTGGAGATGATATACTGCTATAGGAAGATCGCAGCGGCCGGAGAGGAGGCGCTGAGGGAGAGCGCGTGAGTGACACCTTCAGCAAAACTCACTCTCACTACAGATAATACTCTGAAATGATCAGTCACTCAAGCGATATCCAAACATCTGTGACGCTCCTGCATTTGGCGCCTGGTCCAGGAGAACCAGATAGAGAGCGGGATCATCACTGTCCTTAGACCCAAGGAACGACTACAACTGTGAGAAACCTCGGAAGGCCCCAAACCAAGAGAGGGACCTGCTCCCACGGCTGTAGATCCAGGACTAAAAAGACCCTTCTGTGGTTTAGATGGATTCTAAGACAATAAATGTAAAGAAGCTAGTTTCAGCGGTAGACTTCTGCCTTTGTGTCACCTCTGACGTGTATTAAGAACCTTCTAAGCTTTAAACATAAGAAGACTAAAAGGAACTTTTTACATTGAGAATCAATCTACCTAATAACATAACATAACATAATTATGAGATATGTAGGCAATTCTAACTTTGTTATGGCAGTAGTTTCACCAGTATTCTGGTAAAGACACTTTACCTTGAATTAAGACAACACACTTGACAATGAACTAAGTCCTTGGCTTGACTAGTATATACAATAGTGTGTGTATACAGTACTAAATACACACTCTCTCTTCACCTTTGCATGCACTGACTTTTACTGCTATTCTCCAAAACTGAACCAGTCCCGGTTTTCTCTTCTTCTCTGCTCTTTTCTCCTCTTCAGGGCTGAGTATTTAGCCATAGCGTCGGAAAGCAAAGACAATTGTACAGAGGAGCAGGAGGCGGAATAGCACTGGTAAGATCTGTGCCTTTGTTTCCCCATTTCATCCCCGTTTCTCTGTTATTCTTTATTATTTCATTTAAAGGAGCAGTATGTAAAAATCTGGCCAAAAGTGGTACTGCACTCTCCCTGACTCAGGTTTCCAGATTTGCAGGCATAACAGCTGAATAGATGAGAGTTTTTTCACAAAGGCCCTGAAAGAAATCCTGTTTTTTTCCTTGTTTTGTCATTTTTCCGTGTTATGATTTGAGAATCATAACGAGACCATTTGTAGTTCTGCGGCCACATGGTCCTTTACCAGTGAGATTAGGGCCCTGTCCAATACCCACAGTGCACCCTACACTCCTCTATGAAGTGTGCATTGGTTTGAAATGCACGCAAGGGTTTGAGTGCGCAGCTTAGAAGTGTGCAAAAAGGTGGAATTGGGACAGTGCTCACTGAGTGCAGGATACGTCATCGACTCGTCAAGAGATGGTCATTTTCAGACCTAAACTTTATAAAAAAGGTCATTTCGTCCGACCCTGTGGGAAACAAAAGTAGTAGTTAATGAGTTGCTCCACACACGTTAAAAAAAGGAAAATTGGTTATTTGTAATTTGAGATAGTTGTATAATTTTAAGTTAAATGTGGGTAACTAACTGTTAGGGCTGGGTGATAAAACGATAACGATATATATTGCGATAGACACGTGTTCGATATCAATAGAAAACAGGGTCAATAGAACGTTCGATAGTTTAACTTCAGTCCGTTCGAAAAAAACAGGAACAAAACACAGGAAGTAAAGCCGAGAAAGAAGCGCGCGGCATTCTGGGGGATGTAGGCAAAGACTTATCGACCTATCACAGCCGACTATAAACCACAAAACTTTCTGGGAAAAGCAAAAAACAACCGCACCATGCGTAGCGTCCATGGATCATGGATCATGGATCATGGATCATGGATCATGGATCTTGGATCTTGGATCTGTTATAAAGCCGTTGATCTAAAGATGGTGTTTCAGTGCTGTGTCAATGGTTAAACACGTCCGTGCGAGGAACAACATGTGCGGCGGGAGAGGCAGTGGGTACAGAGACTCCATGCATTCGGCAAAAGCAAGAGATTAACTTTCCGGAGCCGTCACGGGGACACAAGACACTCGAAAACAGCCAAAACAGGAGCTAAACCAGGACTAAACCAGGATTAAACCAGGACTAACTATGGGGGAGACTGCTTGTGAACATTTGGCTCCAGCCTCATTCCCCCGTGACTGTAAACAAGGCTGCTAACATGTTGTCGGCTGCCCACACGACAAATGTATTTATTTACGTTTTAAAAAATAAATAAAAACAATCAATATATATTGTTATCGACCGATATGAATGACTTATATTGTGATATAGTTTTCAGCCATAGCGCCCAGCCCTAATAACTGTTATCTGGTCAGTTTTTATACATCCTAACTTTATTGTACTAAGTGTAAAGTTTAAATTGAATCTTATATGAAAGCTTGGATTTAAAAAGTTATGAAATTGTTAATAGAATGTCCGTAATTCTTCATCAGATATTTATGCTTTTTTCCAAGTAACAAAAGCAAAACTTATTAACACACATACAGCATATATATTTCAAAACGTACTCTTAAATGCATTTTCCCGACGTTTTGGTGTGAACCGCAAAGAATTATGGGCAATATCCTTCGCCAGAGTCCGCTTAGATGCAGGCTACGGCACTCGCACCCATCATCGGGAACACGCAAATGAGGGGCGCGAGGGTGGAAGTGCGAGTATTGGGACTGGGCCTAGCTCGACGCGGTGAGTTCTGGCAACCCGGATCACAGACTTTCTGATTGGTAAATCGGTGGAGGGTGGGACATCGAAATGAAAACAATAACAAGATTTAGGGGCAGTAAATCTAATGTTGAAATCCAAATATCCCTGAACTACTGAGAGAGTGAGTTACTAAAGTCCCAGAGAAAGATTTCAGTGGGTTTAGCTTCAGTTTTTTTTTTATTCTGGAGCAAGATTCCACAAATGTTAGAAATACAAGACCAGGACCATCTCAGAACTGATCAAAAGTTGAATGTCGTGGGGTCTCGAGTGAGTGGGCGGCGACTCGAGGTAGTCCTGCAATCAAAAGACTTCCCCTCCATCCATATTGTTATTACTCTTACTTTTTTATTTTATTATTATTGAATATTGTTATGATTGTGAATGTTATTATTACTATTTATATTATTGTTGATATTATTCTTACTACTATAATTGCAAAAAATATCTTTGCATTCCGTGTTTTTTTCCCCTTCTGTTTACTCACTTCTGTTAATTTAATTTCTGTTCTACTGTCTTACAATTATGAAATATTTGATTATCATTATCCTTACTATTAGATATACTCTATATAAGTATAGTTCTCATTTGTTTGTTATAATTTAAAGCTGGGGGACCGTACTCTTAGAAATTGTATGTTTTGTTAAAGAAAGAATACAAAGTTGTTGATTCATTAGACAACAGATCAGAAAATCAATGTAATATTAACAAACACAGAGGCGAGGATGGGGGGGTAGGCCTCAAGTCTGGGCCCGGGGGCGGAGACCGGTCCAAAGGTGCAGAGGAAAAAGGCCGGATTCTGGGTTCCCACCATCACGCCATGACACAGACAGCGGGTGAATAGCAATGAACAGACTACAGCCGAAGTCTTAACCATAACGGATAAAGTAGGAGAGAGGAGAGGATAGTAGCAAAGTCTCGATATGTCATGTGGAGAAATGAAGGAGGAGCCAAAAAATAAGGATGTGATTATGTATTATCCCTGAAGGAAATAGTTAGAGATCCAAGGGTAAAACAAACCTGGAAAACAAAAAGACAAAGACAGAAACAATGGACCAGCAACAAATGGGGATGAGCACAGGTACATGTAGACACAGAGACACAGACGAGGGGGAGGGGCAGACAATCAAACAGGACAGGAAGTAAATCTATTGTATAACGAAACCACAAAAGAATTAATGTCATCTGTGATTAAACAAAATACCCAACATCCACACCATGACACCATAGGCCACCTGTGTTTTTTGTGTTTAAATACCAATGCATTCTCTCGATATAAGAAAATGTGAGTCAGGGTAAGGCTCGCTCGCTCCAGGACCAAATACCAACATCCTCCAAGTATTTATACATGAATATATCACTTTTTAAAACTTTTGTTTATCCTCAGGTCCAGGAGGAATTCAAGGCGTGTTTCCATGAAGTGACCAGAGTCGATGCATCATCACAAGTTTTCTCTACGTTTCGCCATCACCGCACCTCCACCTCCACCTCCTCTCCATGTGACGAGGCCCCGGACCAGAGACTGCAGACCAGAGACCGCAGACCGTAGACTGGGACTGTGGACCCACAACCAGGCTCCAAGGGCAGCAGCGGAGGACTGTACATACAGTGCCTTGCGAAAGTATTCGGCCCCCTTGAACCTTTCAACATTTTGCCACATTTCAGTCTTCAAACATAAAGATATAAAATTTAATTTTTTTGTCATGAATCAACAACAAGTGGGACACAATCGTGAAGTGGAATGAAATTTATTGGATAATTTAAACTTTAAAAAAAAATAAAAAACTGAAAAGGGGGGCGTGCAATATTATTCGGCCCCTTTACTTTCAGTGCAGCAAACTCAGTCCAGAAGTTCAGTGAGGATCTTTGAATGATCCAATGTTGTCCTAAATGACTGATGATGATAAATAGAATGCACCTGTGTGTAATTAAGTCTCCGTATAAATGCACCTGCTCTTTGATAGTATCAGGGTTCTGTTTAAAGCGCAGAGAGAACCATGAAGACAAAGGATCACACCAGGCAGGTCCGAGATACTGTTGTGGAGAATTTTAAAGCCGGATTTGGATACAAAAAGATTTCCCAAGCTTTAAACATCTCAAGGAGCACTGTGCACGCAATTATATTGAAATGGAAGGTGTATCAGACCACTGCAAATCTACCAAGACCCGGCCGTCCCTCCAAACTTTCATCTCAAACAAGGAGAAGACTGATCAGAGATGCAGCCAAGAGGCCCATGATCACTCTGGATGAACTGCAGATAACTACAGCTGAGGTGGCAGAGTATGTCCATGGGACAACAATCAGTCGTGCACTGCACAAATCTGGCCTTTATGGAAGAGTGGCCATTTCTCAAGGATATGCATAAAAAGTCTTGTTTAAAGTTTGCCACAAGCCACCTGGGAGACACACCAAACATGTGGAAGAAGGTGCTCTGGTCAGATGAAACCAAACTCGAACTTTTTGGCCACAATGCAACACGATATGTTTGGCGTAAAAGCAACACAGCTCATCACCCTGAACACACCATCCCCACCTCAGCTGTAGTTATCTGCAGTTCATCCAGAGTGATCATGGGCCTCTTGGCTGCATCTCTGATCAGTCTTCTCCTTGTTTGAGATGAAAGTTTGGAGGGACGGCCGGGTCTTGGTAGATTTGCAGTGGTCTGATACTCCTTCCATTTCAATATAATTGCTTGCACAGTGCTCCTTGAGATGTTTAAAGCTTGGGAATTCTTTTTGTACATAAATCCAGCTTTAAACTTCTCCACAACAGTATCTCGGACCTGCCTGGTGTGTTCCTTTGTCTTCATGGTTCTCTCTGCGCTTTAAACAGAACCCTGAGACTATCAAAGAGCAGGTGCATTTATACGGAGACTTGATTACACACAGGTGCATTCTATTTATCATCATCAGTCATTTAGGACAACATTGGATCATTCAAAGATCCTCACTGAACTTCTGGACTGAGTTTGCTGCACTGAAAGTAAAGGGGCCGAATAATATTGCACGCCCCCCTTTTCAGTTTTTTATTTGTTAAAAAAGTTTAAATTATCCGACAAATTTCATTCCACTTCACAATTGTGTCCCACTTGTTGTTGATTCATGACAAAAAAATAAAATTTGATATCTTTATGTTTGAAGCCTGAAATATGGCAAAATGTTGAAAGGTTCAAGGGGGCCGAATACTTTCGCAAGGCACTGTATGT